AAAAAAAAAAAAAAAAAAAAAAAAACCAAACAAGCGCTCGCACAGAGAGAGAGTAAAACCCACACAAGTAACTGCATTTGCTGTTGGTACGTCAAAGTCAACAACAGATTACCCAAATCAGACTAATATAGCACCCATAACTTCCCTAATAGTCACCTTGACAAAGTCACACAGCCAACCTACCAAAATTATTGTTCATCAATAAAGAAGCGAGCAGAAATAATCTTAAGAGGAGCGTCTGTAGATCCAGAATAAAAAATGGCCTTCAGTAGATAAATTAAGCGCATAGAACACAATTGTGCAGAAACTGGTATTCACTTAAAAGAGATACTACCACAACCTCTTTTCTATTTCAGTAAAAAATAAGGAGTAATTTTGTACCAATATGGCAATATCCATGACACGTTCCTCAATTCATAGAAATCTACTACACACTTCTAATTAATTCCTAAAATAGAACCCCATATCATTAACAAGAAAAATAAAGATGAAACTCGATGGGGTAAAAATAAGATTTCACTAACAGGTGATTCTGTACCTTGGATAATTCGACAACAGTGTATAAAAGATCCCTCAAATTCACAAGTGCAACATCTGGCAACAAAAGCAAGAGATTGTGTGCAACTTTTCAGCCTGCTACCTTTACTGCACCCATCTCGTCAATCTTTGAGCTCTTGTGCTGCGTCATTTTAGCGTGTGAAATGATGACATGATTGAGGAAAGTGTAGGAGCATGACATAATTTTACATAATCCAAGAGTGAAATGAATTCTTCACAACATCTCAGGACTAACGAAATGATTTAAGAATGATGGAATCAGATAGATTGCTTCTTTGTTACCTTACTTTTCTTGTGTTTATGCACATCATTGGTATCATCATCCCCATCATGCTTCCTCTTCTGAAAATTACAAAACATGTACATGTTTAGACAGTTCATTGATTGAAAATCCATTGATGATTTTACAAATGTAGAAAGTTTGGTTATAGGAACAGATTTCATAGAAGACTACAGTTAGACCAAATCAATATCATAGTATTTCTGAAATTTCCATCAATTCACTCTAAAAAAGTATCTATAGGTCTGTGTCATCAATTGTCGCCTAACGTAGCATTTACACAAGACCAGAAAATTGTAGATTGGTGAACTTCAATTACAGGCAGAAGTGCCATAGCACATGATAATAAATTTCATACAAAATATATGCATATTGCTAAAAGCTTTTAAAGTTAGTTTGCTTTTGCAAGGCAAAGCAGCTACACAAAACATAATTTTCAAACCTTTTCATGATGTTTCTTTGAGTGCTCTGCGCCAGAATCATGATGGCCACTTCTATCTTTCTTCTTCTCCTTGTCCTTGTCTTCACTTCGATCTTTATGACGATGTTTGTGCTTCTTGTGCTCTTTATCTTTATCTTTCTCCTTCTCTTTATCCTTGTGCTTTTTATGCTTCTTTTCCTTATCTTTAAACTCATTTTTACTTTTCCCAGCAATTGTAGGAGTACCCTTCTCAGACTGTGTAAAGCATATGACTTAAAAATCAGATCACCCACTCATGGCATAGCATATAGTAAAAGAATTGGCAAAATGAAAGGAAATCCAGTTCAGCACCCTATATTTTGAACAAGTTAACCATCATTAAGTAGCCAAATCAAATCAACTCAAGAGGCAGCAAATTTCTTACAATAGGTAGATCGATGCGAGCCGTCTCCCGAAGTTGAAAGGCATCTCTGAGAACATCCAGGTCAAATGGTTGTATGCGTACATTACTCTCCCTTGGTAAGGACGTATCCTGAATAAGCTGACTTAATTGCATCCCTTCCCCTTTTCTGATTTCTGTGTCTCCAACAACATTATGAAGATAGTGTGTGTCTGAAACTGACACAGGAAGTGACTTCTTGCAGAAGAAATCATGGTGAGGTAACAACCTGTAGTGACTAATAAGATCCACAGCACCTGTAAGTTCTCTAGGCCCTAATTTCAAGAACAGAACCAAGTCAATTGGACGTTGTAAACTGAGTTGACAAAAAACAGAGAGGTAGAGAGGAAGGTTAATAAAATTTCAGTTACTTTATGTCCACTGTCTCTTTGTACATTTCTTTGTTTCGGTTTCAACCATGATTATATACAAGGGAAGAGAATTTGTTTCATGCTAAGAAGCACAGATATGGATACGTAGTTCGAATACGACACGATACAATACGATACAATACGATACGGATACACTGATACGACTTTCTTTAAAAAAAATTAGAATACGCCGATACGTGTTATAAAACTCAATATAATTTCATTAAAAAAATAAATTATACAAAAGCATGATAATAAAAATAAAATAAAATACTAAAACACTTTATCTTAATCATTAATTATCGAAACTTCATTTTCTTCAACATCATCATATGAATTTCTTCATTATCATTAAAAATAAAATTTTCCAACTCTAACAAATCTAATGATAGATTAGCAATCTCAAGCAGTCCAATATCTTCAACAGTATCAGATAAGAATCCAGCAATGTCCCACATTTTGGATTTTCCTTTTAAATAAAGATCTAATTTTCTTAATAAAAGACACAAATTGCTATGAATGAAAATCAATTCTTCAGCTTCTTGTGAATTATATTCCTTCTCGCAGAGTGCACAAAGGAGCAAGTACTTCAATTTCTTGCCACACAAGATGAAGAAGAATTACAAGAAGTTTTAAAGATAATTTTGTAGCAAAGGTGCATGTGAACCATGAATTAGCCATCAGGTCTTTGAATCCATGTTATACCGATCAGTGATAGAATCGAATAATACGATCTCACATAGATTGAAAGATTAAATAATATTGTGCATTTTCAATAAAAAAATCTAGTTAATTTTAAAACTCTAATTTTGTATTTTCGATAAATATTATTAATATTCAATAAATTATTAAAAAAATTTTAAAAATACATATCAGATACATATCGAAAATAATATAAACAATATAAAATAATTAAAAAATACGTATCAAAAATTTAAAAATATAAAAATTTTTAAAATAATTAAAAACAAGTATCCGGTATATATCGAAGGGTATCGAAGAGTATCAAGGCCTGAATACATATCGGTGGATATGTAACGAGTTTACAAGTATCGGTGCTTCTTAGGTTTCATGACACATTTTAACATCCCACTAAAAATATTTAGGCCTGCCAAACTACCTCGACCCTCTCTTCATATGGCTCCAAAATTTATCTTCCATACTTGAGTACAAATGGTTCCAATGAAGGCACTAGTAGTATCTCATCAGTTGGCTCTAAATCACAGCATAAACCAGATTTTCGGTTCTTGTTTTTATTTTGTTCTTCAACTTGAAGAGAGGTTCATCCACTTAACAAAATACATTGATCAATTTATTTCCAAAAACACTTTCATCACAAGGATCAAACTCATCTCACAACCAAAGGATATAAGAAACCCTATAAATAATGCAGGCAGGCCAAATATAAATAAATGTTATACACCCAGCATATCGGAGTAAGATCGTTAAAGCTCATTCAAAGATATGGATGGAGATTCTTTTAAAATAAATAAGTAAATGTTATAAAGTTCCAAATAACGAGCTGTAGTAAGACTAAGATTAAGATAAAGTGTATACGCATTTCCAGTCTGATAATTAAATATTATTACCTCTTCCAAACGTCTTGCTATCAAGGTCCATTTATCAGCATCTAATACACAAGTAGCACATAAATGCCTGGGATTTTACACAAACAAGTTAAAGAACAGTCAACAACAGAGTAACTGAAGCATTGTCTGTGTTTTGAATGTTACATTTCACATAACAGCTTTTCATCAATAAAGAAAATAAGGAAAACCTGTTAAAAATGTATAATCAATCAACACGATGCATTGAGACAGAAGTGATGGAAGCAAAGGAAGAGAGCGGGAGATCAAAAACAAGAAGAAATAAGCGTAGACTTAAACGGTTGCAGATCCCAAACCATATAGGAAGACAAATGAACAAGAGTGAACATGAAGCCTCAAGGTCAACTGTATTTGCAGCAAAAATAAAGATATCCAGCAAGAGCATTTTTGTTTCTAGATCTTCTCTCTGTTATTAAGAGAAAAAAGTCGTGTTCTAGAACTAGCAAAATCCTAAGAAGAAGTAGCATAACAAAAGATATACCATGTCATCGCAGCACAAAATCCTTAAACTTTACAATCAAAAAACTAATATAATTTCTGAAAGTGATACTAAGGCTCTTTTTAGCATTTCACTCGACTTTGTCAAAAAGGCTTCACAAATGTAATATACGGCCATCATATGATGGACCCTCAACCATTCCTTCTTTGCCCCCTAAATTTATAACCCTTATTGCCAAGCTTCAATAATTAGCATTGAACCAGTTTCTGAAAATGATCGAAATGCCAATCTACAACCTATGTTTACATAAACATTCTGTGCACCTAATTCTCGGGTGCAAACATTTTAACCTCACTGACCGCCTAAAAAACTCAATAGCAACACAAGCTCATAAAAGACAATAAGAATGACAAACAGATCTTTATTCATTCATAAATGCTTTTTTTTTTTTTTGCTACATTAGATCTAAAATTAAATGCTCCGCGACCATCTTAAGATAAGTTAATTTGATCTTCTATAATATATCTCTCCCTTGTCTAACCTTTTCTAACACGAACACATTCCTCATGTAAGTGAGCTTTATTAGCTACACACAAAATATACTAAGCCCTTGTTTGGTTTATAGAAAAATCAAATTTGTGTAAATTTTGATGAAAGTCGACGAAATGTGTATCGAAAGTTGATAAAAGTTGTGGCTCACATGTAGTTAAAATTAATTGTCAACTTTCAGTTTCATTTTTATCGACTTTTTTAGCTAAACCAAACAAGGCAAAATCATCATTCTCTTGATTTAGTCTCAATTAGTGCCACTCCAATTGGTGGATCAAATCCTCGTACCTTGTGTTATCTATACCATTATAGCCACACATCTATCTTAACAACTTATTTCTACTAAAATCATCCTATTGAAATTTCCAACACTGTGTGCCCTAAAGCATTGCTTCTCTAATATCCATTATTTAAAACTTGACCAGCAAGACCAATGAATCAGAAATTTAATTCAACTACAGAAGAGGAAAAGGCATATTATAAAATTTAGAGAGAAATAACCACGCACACCCCCACAAACACATCTGGTTATCATGAGATATAAATCGAAACATTCATACTAAACAGAAAAGCACCAAAACAATTCGAAGCCAGAAACCCTAATTATAATCAAGAAAAAGCGAAACCCTAATTCGAAAATGAAAAGAATAAAAATAAAAATAAAAAATGCCAATCCTCAACTGTTGTCGAACCAATTCGATAAAACAAAAATGAAAATTAAGAAAATGGCTTTGACGGTTGTACCTTCGAGATTTGGGAGATTCTGTAGCTTCAGCTAATCAGCAAAGATTTCGGAGATTCTTTTTAGTTATCGCCGCCTAATAGCCCAATAAAAAGCTAGTATCTTTGTCTCGGTTTCAAGATATTGAATTTTATACTTTGGAAATTGCAATTGGAGGATCGAAGTTATGGTACGAAGCTAACGAAGAAAGAAGTCGGAGGGAAAAATTAAGTGCGGATCGTGGTGTTGCTTAATCGGGAATCTGGGCATGTCAATGGATACTTCATATGGATCTAGCAATTACGTTCCTGTACACGTGGCGGCAGAATAATGGCTGTTGGATAGCTTTATCGCACGGTTCGTTATATTAAAGACGCGGTTCTTTTTTCCTTTCATTACGACTTCGACACATTCTAATTTTAGCGAAACTGCTGGGTTCTTTCACATTGTACTTAACTTTTTATTATGTTATATATATATATTTTTTTGACAAGCGTGAATGTTCAGACTAACTTACGCGTATCTCGACTAATTCTAAAGAGACCTGAAATTTACAGCCCGCACTCACCTCAGTGGTCTGAGGGAATTCGAACTGATGACAATTGGGGAGCAAACCCAAGACCGATCAATTGAGCAACCCCTCAATGTTAACTTTTTATTACATATTTATCATTAATTTTTATTAATTAGCACATTTGTTCTGTCGATGATTTATGTACAAATATTTTATTAACATACTTTAAAATGAAGGATAAAAATTATTTGTTGTATTTAAAAATGAGGAATAAATATTTTTTTCTACGTCATCATAACAATTTTTAGACATCCATCTACAATATATACTATCGAATAAAATTTAATACGATCGTGAATTATTATACTTCACGAACAATATTAAGTATATTATAAATACCACTAGATGAGAATTAGGGTGTGTTTGATTGTAATGGTGGAAAATGAGTGGAATGAAAATATTTTACAGAGAAAAGATTTGCTTAGAAAATGTTTTAGGGTGGAAAATGGGTGGAAAGAAAATGTTTTACAGGGAAAAGGTTTGCCTAGAAAATGTTTTGCAGGGAAAATGATTTCAAGTGTGTTTGATTGGTATAATTTTCCACCTGGAAAATTTTTAAATTTTTTATTCGTTTGGCTTTATTTTACATGGAAAGTGTTTGTTGAAGTGATAATTTTTTTCACAATTGGTTATAAAATTTGTTTTTATTGCCAAAAAGTAAAAAAAAAATAAAATTGTTTCCTAAAAAATTATTATTTTTATCATAATTTAGTGTTTGTTTGATTTAGTTTTACATGGAAATTATCCATTAAAGTGAAAAAAATCTTACCATTGGTTATAACATTTGTTTCCATTACTAAAAAAAAAAAAGATTTTTTTTCCAACCAACCTGGAAAAATTTTTCCCATCAAAATGGTGGGAAAAAAATTTCATCAAAAAGCCGAAAAATGCAAACGTGTGGAAGAAAGAAGGAAAATATTTTTCGTGAAAAATTTCGCCTATCAAACAGTAAAAAAAGTGGGAAGTGGAAAATATTTTCCTATTTCTCTGAAAAATTTGGCATATCAAACAGGGCCTTATTTTTACTATGACTTTTGATGGTTATATTGGCACCAATTGAGCATAAGGTCCTTAAAACTTTGTTAATTCTAACACTTATGCTCATAACTTTTCTTTTGCATAATCTTTCATTAATTAGCATGTATCGTCTTTGATTATCACTTTTGTCAAAATAATATGTTTATGTGCTATTTAATGAGGAAAATATATTTTGTTGCACTTTTATATTCATTTTCTTTTTAAAAAAATGTGATAGATAGATAATTCGTCGTGCTTCCATACATTTCGCATCAGTCAATTCAACAAGCGGCAAAACTTAATATGACAAAATGTACCTACGAAAGTGACAAAATGAACATTATATTAGTTTAATTAGATAAAACGTTAAAATATCATATACTCCACAAATAATATTCGATGGAATAACGCTATCCATTTACCAATAACAATAACACACTCAATACAATCAATAGTCAGTCCAGATCCATGGCTTCTCTCCTCACCCGACCAACTCAATTGGTACTATTCTCGATTCTTTCAGTCGGAATATTTTGTATCGGAGAAATCAACGCTGATTGGAACAGGGAAGGAGCGCTAGGAGGAGGAGGAGATGTTAATCGGAGAGAATTTGATTACTTTATGCTGGCTTTGCAATGGCCGGGCACCGCTTGTCGAAAGACTAAGCACTGTTGTTCCTCAAATGGCTGTTGTCGAGGGTAATTTTGTTTTTTGCCTTTTCTTTGAATTCTTTCTATTGGAAATTTCGCATGTTGATGTGATTTGTTGCCTTGGGAACTAATTTTGTCGAATTATTATTACTTTTGTGGTTCTATTTCCTGTTCCAAGTCAAACACGATGAACATATACATAAGGTTGTTATATGATGGAAAATTAGTTTAGTTGTTAATTTCGACTTAAATTAAACTTGAAGTTTTTTTCTTATATACTCTTTTTTAACGATGCATTAACGTAATAAAATATTTAACACGTAAATAAAAAAATTAAATTTTAATCACACATTTTTTCTGAAAATAACTATTTAAAATATTGTTTTGATCAAAATAAAGGTCATCAAACGGGGAGATTTAGAGCATGTTTGTGCTCGATTAAAATCTGATTTTAATCAAAGTCAAAGTCAAACAATCAATATTAATCACATCTTTCATGAGTTTCACATCTTTTCAATCACACATTTCAAAAATTTCTTAATCCAGAAAATCTAATTTTAATTTCGATCAAACACCCTTTTAAATTTTAATTTCAATCAAACCAAACGTGGGCCAAAAATAGAAATTTTCTGCCGAGTACATGTGCGGAAGCATCAAGCAATACCGTCATTATCAATACAATAAGCAGACAAGAGCCATGGCTTCTCTCCTCAACCGACCGATTCATTGGATTCAATTGGTACTGTTCTCAATTGTTTCAATCGGATTGTTTTGCATTGGAGAAATCAACGCCGATTGGGACGTAGAAGCAGTACTGGGAGGAGGAGGAGGTGAGCTTAAGCAGAGAGAATTTGATTACTTTAAGCTGTCTCTGCAATGGCCGGGCACTGTCTGTCGCCACACTAAGCATTGCTGTTCCTCAAATGGCTGTTGCCGAGGGTATTTTTGATTTTTATTCTTTTTTGTTTTTCTTCTGGAAATTTCTCATGCTGATGTAATTTGTTGCCCTGGGAGAATTATTTTGTTTTTCAAAAAATTAATTAAATGATCTGTGGAAAAACTGGTGCTTTAAGACGATTTAAGTGGTCAATTTTTTATTTTTATTTTTTTGTGTGCGTGTGTGATTTTGGGGATTTTTATGATAAAGAATGCTTTAGATTCTCAATTTAGCAAAGATTGATGACCACCTTGTCAGTTACAAAAATTTCCCAACCTGAATTGCTCTCTCGTAGAAGCACATCAACACAAGAGCGTTGTAGTTTAAGTTCCTAGTGTGATTTTCCTTGCCATTTCAGGAGTTGGAAGCGTTTTCGATTGAAAATTTACATATTTGTTTCGAGTCTTTTGACAGAGAATTCTGGCTAAAATGGTCCTACTAACTTTTTCCTTAATCCTTTGGGCTCCTGTGAAGAAATTGTGCATCATTTTGTATATAGTGGATAGGAATTTTATGTTATAAAGGTAGGACTTGTTTCTTAGGTATTTGATTGTCCCCATTATGAAGTAATTGAGCGTCCGTGATGTGTGTTTTGGCTGTATTCCAGTTCCACGTCAATCATGTGACATTATGTCTCCATGTTTGGTTGCTATTTTGAAATGTTTTAGGAGATTTTCCAATCTTACCACGTCCAGATGATTAGCATAGTTCAAGCAATTCCAATAACCAATGCATCATCTATAAGCTGATGAAGGCGCTTGTCCCTAAAATTAAGAAACTTACAGCAAATATAAGAAGGCGTAGTTAAAGCTTGCTATGGTGCTCCTTAGAGGCAAAGAGTTAATTAACTCATGATGGACCTTTGTCTACTCATGATGAACCTTTGTCTGAAGAATGACATGTCAAAACATTACTAGAGACGAAGAACATATATTGACCACTTTTCAATATCCATCTGGGTTGAATCTGAAAGTTTCGCTTTTGATTTATTATATATTGAATAAGAATGACAGAGAAACTTACTTTTGGCTCTTTATGACTTTGATGCAGTTCGAATGCGCCAGTTGAATTTACAATCCGTAAGTATGACTTTTTTTGACACATGAAAATATGTCCAGCGGTGTAAGTTTTCTGGTTATCTCCGACTTAACTGTTTGGAGTTTTTGTCTTTCACTCTTTCTCTACAGATGGACTCTGGCCTGACTACAATGATGGTACTTGGCCTTCATGTTGTGCTGGTCACAGATTTAATGTGACAGAGGTATTTTACTTTAGATTTTAGAACCCTTGTTTATGCTCTCAGTATCTGCATGACTGTTGAAAATTGTTATTGACCTTTAAACGTATCACTTATCTGGCATGCAAATAATCACCAATAGATTAGGAGTTTTTAAGACTCACGTGGATCACTGCTAAATGGTCTGCAAATAGATGAGACCAAATAGATACTGGATTCAGTTATGAGGGCAATCACTTTATTTATGAGGATCCAGGAATTAGTTTACATTGATCTATTAGAAAAATTCATTTTTACATATTAAGACTTTTTCAGTTAGATTGATGTGATTTGTGAATTCTTGTATGATGTGGAAAGCCTGGCAAAGAAATTTGGTCCTGTGTAAATTCATTAGTTTAGTGAGATAGATGGAATATCAGCGAGATGTCACCAAGTTTAGATTTTTGTTCAGTTATTATGGTGCTATATTACTATATTCTAAAGTATTATGTTTCTTCTATTTCTAGGCCATTTATTTGCTACATTTCATATTTGTATTCAACTATCTATTTAATCAAACTCAGTTCTCTTATTCATATACTAAGCAGTTACTATTGCTTTGTTTGTTTAATTCTATCCAATACCAAATTACTGACTGCAGATCTCGACATTGCTTGATGTCCTGAACAAGTACTGGCCATCCTTCAGTTGTAGTTCTGTATCAAACTGCCATGGTGGAAAAGGATTATTCTGGGGACATGAGGTGGTTTTTAATAGCTGCTTGTTCATTAGATTTGACGAATTCATTACTTGAAACTAATTATTGCTCCCTTTGTTTATTTCATATCCGAACTGGGGGATGACCTGAGACAGTGG